ATTGAAAAGGAGTGAGTCTGGATATTATCTTCTCCTCCCTCATTTTCTCTTCCATCATTATCAAATCCAAGAAAAATAATGATTTTCTTGCTTTTGTCCTACATCCAAACCATGATTTCCATCTTTTAGTAACCTCTTTCATGAACACTGCATCTTCTTTAAATGTTGACTTCTTCATTTAACTGTTTGGATCATCAAACTATGTATTTTTTAAATCATTTTGTTACGTCATCTTAGTGGCTAGCCTAGACTCATTCTCATCTCTTATGAGCTAGTTCAGCATTGATCAATATTTTCGTCTTCAGTTATTCACATTCTTGGTGCATCCATTCGTAAAATGTTTTGTATTTTCATGAATTTGCTAAGTTATTCATTTGTGACTGATCCAAATTGTTATCTCTATAACTTCTTTTCATGTCTTAAGAGCACGTCCACGAAATGAATCTAACTTTAATAGCTCCTTTCATTTCATCTCTTTTTGGACCGACGACTTACCCTCATTGTTTTTTCCTTGTGCTTAGAATTTATTCAATGTACCAGTGATTTAAAAAGCGCTAGGCGCCAAAAGGCGCCAAGGTCCAAAAACGCCCGAGGCGCTAGGCGCTCACCCGAGCGAAGCGAGGCGTTAAAATATAAAAATATATAATATAATTAATAAATATAATTATTTAAAATTTTAAATAAAAATATGCTATTAAATTAAGAAAATCTAAGATATAAAATCATAATGTCACATTAACAAAAAGTTTCAAAATTCAAAACAATAAAATTTTACATCAAAATAAAAATTAACAACATTAAAATCAAAATAATATATTATTAATCTATTAACAGTATTAAAAATTAATTATTTCAAAATTCAAATAAACTTAATATTAAGAGTATACTGTATGCTGAGCCTGACGGAGAAACGAGGAAGCAGCGGCGAGCAGCGGCAGCGGGAAAAGGAAAGGGAGTGGGAGGCGCGAGCAGCGGGAGGGCTCGCGGGAGTCGCGAGCAGCGGGAAGGCTCGCGGGAGGCATGAGCAGCGGGAGGGCTCGTGGGAGGCGCGAGCAGCTGGAGGGCTCACGGGAGGTGCGAGCAGCGGGAGGCGTGAGCAGCGACAGCGACGAGCAGCGGGAGCAGGAGTGACGAGCAACGAGATCGGGAGCGGCAGCGGCAGCGGGTTAGGGTTGGGTAAGGGTTATATCGGTTTAGTTGGTTCGATTGAACCAACTAACAATCGAACCAGGATCGAACCAGACCTAAAATCCTGGTTCGATCACTTGGTTTACCCAGGCGCTCGCCCGAAGCGCCCAGCGCCTGGGCTCGGGCGAGCGCCCAGGCGGCGCCTGTTTGAAGCGCGCCGCCTGGGACATTAGCAAGGCGCTCGGGCCTCGCCTCGCCTCGCCCGAGCGCCTCTTTCAATCACTGCAATGTACTATTCTTTACTACCTTGCTTCCTCTTTTCTATAGTTGTTAATACCATGGTTTGCAGCAAGGTTCGCAATATCGTACCGTACCGGAGTTTCGACCTGGGCTCGGTACCGGTACACCTGGGTGTACCGAGCGGTATACCGTACCGTACCAGTACCGAGCCCAGATCGAAACTCCGGTATGGTACGGTATTGCGAACCTTGGTTAATACTCTAGCAGTCATTTTTCAGGTATTACCAACTTATTTTAACAATATTTTGACTTGTACTTGATCTATTTTGATTTTCCAAAACAGGTTATTGATTTGCTTCTCTTCAAGGCGACAGAGGAACTTAGCAACATAGTTACACATTCAAAGCAGCGCCACCATGTAATTGGCCAATATGTTCTTGGACATGAAGGGCTTATGCAAGACATGGGAACAAAAGACGAGGGAATATCTGAGTTTCTGAAACAATTTTATACCAGTAACTACTTCTGAACCTTTTCAGAAGCTGGAAGAATCAATCTCCAATCTTATCTTTAGCTGATACAGTTCATAAGCTTTCAACGTAGAGCGAGCAGCCAAAATTCTAATTTAGCTTGTTTGTATCATGAAGTTGGGGTGCATTGAGAAATATTTTTCCAGCACAAGCTTTTGTTGTGTTTCTCGAGTTTCTCCTTTTAGGAATAACAAATTCATGATGTTTACATGAATGAGATTGAACAGGTACCGCTTATTGAATTCTGCCTGTCAAGAGAAACCCCATGGAACAACTGTGTTTCTCATTGTGTGAATGCTTGTGTTTTCAAGTGTCAGAAGTTTATGTTTCTGGTTGTTTTTCAGATTGTGCAAATATTGGAACTGCCGTGTTTCTCTTACTTGTAACAAACGAAGATTATATCACGAATCAAATTCAGACTTGTTCAAGGGAAGTTATATGTCGATGTCGACCTTGAGTCAGAACTTTAGTAGGCAGTGTGAGCTTCTGTTGCTCGACGAGTCGTCCACCTTGTGATATCGTCAATAGCTAGTCGATGACATTGATTTGTTTCTTATGAATTCTTCAAACAAATTTATGTTATATAATTTTGCATATGCCACATACTGTCTAGTTTGGGTGGCTTTTTTGTTAGATTCTAACTATGCAAAACATATATGAATATGTGATAAAGGTCGATGATTGAGAGTCTTGTCATGGAATAAGATGAAGCTGGCCGAACTTGGATTGATAGAAGACGAAAACCTTGATGGGGGTTAACTCGAGGGATAAAGAAGTGGGATTAGGAAAGTGTTTAATGGTGCAGGTTGTTGACAGAACTGACTCAAGTGGAACAAATTGATCGTTGGAAATAAAGAAGAAGGAAATAGGTATTAGGCATTGAACTCAAAAAGTGTGATGCACGTCCATGGTTGAGACATCATGACGTCATGAAAACGATCGACAAAAAGATAATTTTGATATCTTTTTATTTTCACCATGTGGAATATTGAAATGATCTTTTTACCTATAAAATTGTTGAATTCATGCTCTCAGCTCTTCCCTCTTTTCTTTTCTGTTTACCCGCTTAAGTTCAATACGATTGTTGTCTACATAGCCGTAGGACTCGGGTAATATATCCAACCAAATCATTTAGATTCCGACAATGTGATAACTTGGATCAAAAGAGAGAGGCGATTCAGAAAAAAAAGAAAAAAAAGTCAAATACGTAATAATAGAATCAGAATAACTTAAAATGTAAAAAAAATATTAAGAAAAATCTGATTATAGCTCATCAACCAAAAAAATATATTTGCTCCCCTCTTAATCTGAATTAGTACCTACATGCCACACTCTTATTTATAATAATAGACTTATGACATTTTAAACCATATTAACACTCATTATAAACTTATTTAAAATAGGTATCTTAAATTAATTAAACTCTCATCTAATAAACTAATAAAACTTATTATCATAACACACCCTCTCACAATGCTAATATATCTAATTATAAGTTTATTCCTTTTAAATAAAAAAAAACTCTCAAATATTTGTAGGTTGATCTCTTCTATTGTAGCATCTGATATTGTCATGTTTTGAACATTCTCTTGTAGATCGAGTTCTTCAGAGAACTTTCTTTGCATGAATATGTTGCTTGAATGTTAATTAGATGTATCAATAAATGTCTTCGAAAAATATGAATCCTTCATCTTTGGTCTCTGAACTAATTTTGTATCTTACAGATTCTTCAAGGAAGAATTGCTACTCTCATTACTTTTAGAACTTTCTTCAAAAGAATTAAGATTTAATACTTGTAAATCACATATTATCCATTTTCAAATTTGACTCGACACTAGCACTATATTTCAACTCAACATTGATTCTAAGAGGATTTTAAACGTAGATTAACATCTGCATCATCCAATCCAATCCAATGCTATAATATCATCATCTTTAAGACTGATATCAACTTCTAAACTGAACTTAAAAATGTCAAAAATCTTATTTCTTAATCGAGTCATAACTCATGATCTATGTCTGCTTTAAGTTTATTATCATATTCCCATTTATTTGGTGCATCATTAATAGATTAACTTGCAAAATGTAATTTTGTTTATATTTATCATCTCCGTCTACAAAATTAGTTTGTTGATAGTATCTTTTTAAATAACAAAATCATTCGATCTTTAGGTTTATTATTTTGTTACAAGAATAATAATGAATATTCCTCTCATACAATATTATATCGTATTGGTGTTTCGAGATTGGCTCGATACGATACGGTACCGATATACCGAGTGATACACCAGAACGTACCGAACGATACACGAGGGTTTACCGAGCGATTTCCTCTTACTGTAGCACTATAGAACTGCTACAGTATAACACTGTATCACTGTAGAACGGTCCATCCGGTAACAGACGATCCGCGTACCGGTATGTCGTCGGATCGATACGTACCGTCGTACCGAGCGGTACCATTCGAAATTGCATACCCAAGCCTCTTTAGAATTTATTACAGTAAAAACTTTAGAAAATCCTTTGAAAAAAATAAAGAATATGTAAATCCCTTTTTTAATCTTCTTTAATGGCTTTTGCTACATTATAACATTCTTCAATAATCACCCAAAAATCTTGTCATTTAAATCAAGTTTTCATCTTCCTACTCCATGTCAAATAATTATCTCCTCTAAAAATTAAGACTATCAATGACAAAAAAATCTTATGACAATACCTGTCTAGTTGTTCACCATTGCGGCTCTGATACTACTGGTTCGAAATTAAAATCGAACAAGAAAAAGTCAAACACCAATAACATAACCATAATAACTCGAAATATATATATAAAAACGCATTGTAGCTCATCTGCAGCTACCCCTTAATATGACTTGGTGCCCCAAAAAAAGATACCACATCTTATTTGTAGTCTAGACTCATGTCACTTAAACATATTAAAACTCATCACAAACTTATCTAAAATTGATATCCTAAATCAATTAAACTTTTATCTAAACATCTCCTAAATCATCATAATATGTGAAAGGAAACCAAATTCCTCGTAGACCAAGGTGTTTTTGCCATCAATCATGTTTATATTTGAGTAACAAACACACTAATACACAGAACAATAAACCCATTAAGGTGACAAATATATTGATTTCTCTCGTATTCTAAAGCACCATGCATCACCTCCCGAAAAATACACAATGAACTTGTTTTTCTAGTCTTCCCACAAGTAGCGTATTCAAAATCCGAGAGCAGGATCATGTAATGACATCCCCATCTTTGTGCCTGGACAAGGCAAAAAAACCAAGAATAGGATTTGAAACCCAAGTTCATTTGTCGCTGCAGGGAAATGGGATGAGTATTTCTTGATGCATTCCAATTATCTTCCTTCCCTCTCCATGGTATAGATGGGTACCTGCCAGTGCTTGGCATTCTTCTTTGGGTCATCGGTCAGGCTGAGATCCTTCTCGTCTACCTTGAAGGTCTTCACAAAGGTTCTGGCACCTACTAAAACCAACCTTTCTACCATGAAGAGCTGATAATTGTTCTCAATCACTGGGTCCAAAATGTCACTGAAATTGGATGAGTATGCCAACTTATACCTGTATTGTGTTTAAACTGAAATAAGAATTAAACAAACAAAGTAGCTATGAATACATGTTTATTGAAACAGCAAATTCTTTATTGTAGTCACTCCTTCCAAGAAAAGAGCTGAGCTCAATGGACATCTACAAGTTTTCTTATAGATTCAAACACATTAATTTTTTTGGCAAAAATACAATTCATTATAACACCTGAAAAATACTTCCACAGGTGTCTCAGACCAGCTTCATAAATAAACAAATATATATATATATATATATATATATATATATTGCATGTATCCAACTTAAGAACAATTATCTATTAACACCAGAAAAACATGCATCATAGGTTCTGTAGAACAACTTCATAAATAAACAACTTTTTTTTTTTTGAAGGTGATGACCATTAATTGAAATGATTCGACTAAGAAAACAACTGTAACAACTCTTTTTAAAAATTCAAATTTGATAAGAGAATCTAATAATTAAATCCAATGAGTATTCTTGATAAGCTTGCCATTTGTGAAGGTGTCATATGATTATAGAAAGTTTTACATGGATGAGATTCAAAATATGTGCATGATAAAAGTACATTTCTTGGTGGCTTACCAGTAAGGTGGATATGCATTGATAGGTAGTCGCATAAGTTTTATGAGACTCACTGATAGAGTTAACGGCAAAATACTAGCTTAGGAAACAAAAAAGTATTTCCCATACAAGAAGAATAACCTGAGCTTCTGTTATCATAGCCAAGATCTTCATGAGTTATTGCTAAAAAGATAAACAGAGGCTAAGCAATCTGAAATGGACTTGGCCATACGTGGACAATTACTATACTGTTGATATTACCCAACTCTGAAAAGGTATAAATATGATAAATCGAGGTGCCCTGATAAGTCAAAAGTAAATCTCTTTTTATAGAAATGAATAAAAATTTAATATTGCATACTATACCTAGCAGAGAGTGGTGAAAAGAAACCAGGAGACCTTTCATTTGAAGCGATAAAAAGTGTACGCCCTGCTGGAATCCATTTTTCAATTCTCTGTTGAATGAATTCAGGGCGTGTGTCTCTATCAAGATGGGGATGGAGGGTCCTAATAACTCCAAATTGGTCCTTTCTGGTCTTTATTTTATCTCCTCGGCGAACATGAATAGCATCATAATCACCAAGTAGACCTTTAATCTGTACGAAGAGGCTCTTTAGATTACTATATACAATCCACAATTAGATACTCCAAATATTTGACATGTAGAACCAAATGTCAGAAATTTTTTAGACATTACTAGTTTGTGCATGCAGCTTAGAATATGTTCTTAAAGAACAGTATCGTCGTGACAATTTGCAAAATAAAAATCTTGTAACAGAAATAGTTACTAAGGAGTGGGATAGATACTTAGGAAGGGGTTATTTTAGGAACAATACATACTTAGGAAGTAGATGAAGCGACAGCAGTAAGATTATTAGTTTAGTCATGAGCATATTAGCTGTAATTAAAGTCATACATGAAAAGCATAAAATGAAAATATCATCAAGATATTAACCAGATATTTTAATTAAACTGAAAGAATATTTATTTGCTGAGAATGTAGACTATTGAACAAACATTTGTTATTTGAATGCTTTTCATCAACTTCTAAAGTATTTTAAGCATTAGTACCTTATCTGCTGCATCTCTTAATTTCCTAGCAGCAAGCATGGGGAGAAAAGAATATGGCAGCAGAACAGAGCTGCGATTAGTTCGATCCTTGCACTCCATAAACCTGGATGGATTGTGCATCTTCTTTATTTTCATGGTAGCATATTGGATAATAAGCTATGTTTCTAAGGTCTAGAAGCAGAAAGGATGAGAAACCAAAGTGTGGAATATTACCATGCTAACGGATTTGTGGTGCGGTTTATTAGCAAGACATTTGAGTAATGGGTATTTTCTTTGAGATCAACTCTGCTAACTCCTTCAACATGTGCCACCCCACTCTCTTCTAATTTCATACTTGTTGAAAGTATTCGATACCACATCTTTGAATTGTCCAATATCACTTGCACCTTACTTGAAAAGAGGTCAAAATCATACAAAGAGTCCATTGGACATGAATTTGCTGCCCACCTAAAACCATTTTGAAGCACAATCAGTCATTTTATCAACCATGTCTATTCAGAGAGGCAAAGATATAATGACACATTGAAATAGCATTATCTCAAAATCTACCTCGTCGCCGGACATGCAGAACTAAAGTTAAATACATAAAATTTTGCCAAAAATCCCCTCTTTTGACTGATCAATAATGGAATTGGAGCATACACTAGTGAAAAAAGGAGCAAACAATTAAATGTGTGACTACAACTTTAGATTTGTGAACATTAGTAAATATTAGCGTTACTGCTTCAGGCCAGTGAAAAACTATAATGGAAATAAACTTAGATAACATATTTCAGAGACAAAGGAATGAACAAATGAGCAAATTTCTTTAGCTTAGATAAGTAACTGGCTCCTGGATTGTCATATTGATCACTTTCCTGGTCAGGAAACTAATGCAAAAGTTGAGGAAGTAGAGAAACTATATCTCAAACTTCAATTTGATTCAAGAAGCCTAGAATAGTTCACTTGACAAGTCCAAAGTAATAGTCAGTTTAGAATTAAATTGAACTGGCAAGCCACAAAATAGGCAGCACCTTATATCTATTGAAGAATGCCAGATACGGATTTCAAAATGAGTATGTAACATCCCATTAGTCCGACATCAAAAGTGGGCAATGTGTATGATTGGCTTATATGGATCTAATGAGTGTATTACGTTAACTCCCGCTTAAGCATTTTGGTCCGTGGTTGAAGGATCAAAATGAAATTATTGGCCAGTTGACTCATCAAACCCGGGTCGTGACAGAGTAACTAGAACTACTACAGTGTCTAACAAACACATGGACATAGGCAACCTGCCAACTCCATCTCATACATGGGATAGAGTACATAGAATCAAAGTCATGAATCAATCATCCATTCAATTGACATTCTAACTTAATTACTAAAAAACCATTATGGTATAAATCCAATTTCTGCTATGCATAAGCTAGTTAATTTATGCGGCCACACCTTTCCTTTGAACTTGTATTGCTGTGCTGGTGGAGGATCCCTTTCTTGTTATGTAATGGGTTGATGCACATTCTAGATGGCATTACAAACACTCTGCAAGATGGAGAACAATTATTTCAGACCAATACCAAATCCAAACTGATTGCCATGTTTCAAATTTATACTGCCTTATGCAATCTCTAATCATTTTCTCTAACAATAACTTGCAAGAAAATGCAATGCACTCATTAAATTTTCCTTGACTTGAAGGAAGAGTTTCCTGCATAAAGCTCAATAAACCAGAAAATTTTGCCAAAAGAAAGAAAAGAAGACCAAGAAGTAATCTTTTTTCAACACAAAAAGTTAAAAAGAGATTCAAAACTACCAATACTTATGAAGGAAATAAGGAGGAAGTAAGTAAGAAGAAAAAACGACAGACACAGACCAAAAGACTTGAAGAGCAGCAGGAGGAATCGACCTTTCTGAACAATAACTAGCAAGAACATGAAATATGTACACTTCAATTGTACCACATTTCCTTGCCTTCGATTCTTCAAAAGGAAATTACTGTCTTGGAGGAAAAGCACCCGGCATGAAGCTCAAGAAACCAATAATGTTCTCGAAATTTTTAAAAATAAGAAAAATATATTTAACACAAAAATCTCAACAAAATGCAAACTTTAACATGTACAAAGGAAAACCACGCTTGATATAAAAAATGAAGATGAAACCAATGTCTACCTGCAAATCCAAAACAGGAGCCATGGAGCCCAAATGTAGTCAGAATCAGAAGACAAAGCCACAAAAAAGGGGAAAATATTCGACCTTTGGAGGAAGAGAGCCTCCTCGAGGGCGCATCTGAGGCTGGACTCCTGGTGGCCCAGGCCGGCGCAGTAATCACAATGCTTCCCGGGGCAATCGATCCGGCTGCCCCAGTACAAGTACTTCCGTTCCAACCCGCTCGAACCCTCACTCTCGGACGCGTAGGCGGCCGCTGGAGGTGCAAGGGAGAAGCCGGAGGTCAGCATCGGAGGGAAGAACAGGAACCAGATGACCGCGAGGGCTGCAGCGGCTGAGACCGCCAGCAGCGGAACGACGAGGGCTCTCGGCCTGTGCTTGCCCCTGTGGGCGCGCAAGATCGCCATGGGTTTTGGGAAGAGTGGGCAGCACAGTGAGTTCCTCCGAGCTCTCGGCGTCTTTGTTGCGTATTAGACCAATAAATAAAGCTGCCGCGTCCCGTCGCGCCCATCATGCTTTCTTTGGAACGACGAAAACATTGATCCCGTCGGAGGGTAACATAATGGATCCAGAGAGCTAATTAAGTACCGACTTACGCAGCGACTCAACCAACCTAAGTGGGATTTGGCGCCAACCGCACCGTATGTGCGCTCCGTTTCCTGTCGTGTTGGAAGTCGTGTTCAGACAAGCATAGTACACGAACGGGACAAACCAGTACGGCTCTGCGATGAGGTGGCGTCACTCGGAGCCGTTAGATTAGGATGAGCAAAGGAGAAAAGAATAAAGATGATTTATTAGTAAAAATCGAGTTTTTACAGTATAAGATATTATTTTAAAAGTTTTTTTATTGTATTAAGTTTTGATCAGACTCTATTACCAAAAATTGTTTCAATATATTTTTTATATCTTAAATATTGATCAACAGACCTTTGTCCGTATATACCTCATACAATATATTTTTGAATGTATTAATTAGCTTGGTTGATAAAAATATTGATAATATATTATAAGATTTTAGATTCGAATATTTTCTTCATCATTTATTTTTTAAAAAAATATATATTTTAATTCAAAATAATAAAATTAAAATCACTATTTTGTTTAAATGGATCCAAACTGATTTACTTATCAATTTAATTTAGAAAATTAATTTGATATGCTACTATTTTAATTTTAAAATTAATTCATCCTATGGATTCATCATCAAATGCGAAAATAAAAATAAAAGGGGTACGAGAAAAACCTAAAATTACTTTTTTTCCTGGGAATTTATCCTTTTAAATTCTGCTATATTTACTTTCAGAATAAACATATTTTGTTCAAACTCAGTCTTATGATGATGTTAATCCTTAAAATGTCTGAGTTATGTGATCAATAATTGTCAAATATTGATTTATGTTAATGGTGATTCTGTCTCGTGTTTGGTACAAATAATTCATGTTCTCATCATGTTGCAAGTGCTGTAGCCAATAATTGTCCAGCAGACTCTCTCCCATGAACAAGACATTGGAAATCTCCGGCAGAGTTTGAAGCGTTTTGCTCACCGGAACGGCGATCCCACAGCAGAAGCAGGAGCAACACAGGCAAGAGTGAGAACTAATAAAGCACAGTAGCCGATTCCTTTCATGAATTATCGTCGCTAACATCTACAAGTTGAATCACACTCGAACGTAAACCACGGCACACAAACTCGAATCAAATGAAAAGAATCGAAAGAACAATCACACTTGCTATTGGTTCTTCTTCATCCGTGGACGAGCAGAACACCCACAAGGCTCAATCCGAGGTGAAACCTCCAACCCCGCTGCTGCTGGTTCCTCAGCATCCTCGCCAGGCTATCTCCAGCCGCCGACGAAGCCTCCACGCTGCCTGCCTGGACTGGATTACTGAAGCTGGAAGGCACGGAGGGAACAGCCTCCCCGGGCACCACGCCACCCTTCTCCGGGGCAGCCTGCGCAGGGGCTTCCGCCTGATGCTCAAGGCTCTCCGGCAGGCCCTGCCCGTGGGTGACGTTGATCTTGAAGTGCTGCCCGTGCCGGCACTGCCGGCCGTCGTTGTTGCCCGAAAAGAAGTAAGTCATCCCTTCTTTGAGCAGAGGCACCGCGATGCTCACCTTCTCCTTGCTGAACTTTGGCGCCCCGGCCGACCACTCGATGGTGTCGTCGGTCTCGGCGTCGTTGTAGTTGCAGCGCTTGTAGGTGGTCACGTTGTAGGTCTGCACCACCGTGTGCCCCTTGTCTGTGTTGAAAACTGCATCGCAGCAACATCGTCCATGATCCATTGCAGAGAAACGATACAGGAAGAAAGATCGGTAAACAGAATCTAGAAGCTGGAACGTATAATCCTTTTCCTCGATCCAAACTCGCTAAATGTGCAGCAGTACATGAACTTTTATAGTATTCGATTGATGAATTCAAATTAATCACTCAAAAAAAGGAACCAAGTGTAATAAATTCCATTTCGTGGCTTTGAAGCTCTAAGAATCAAACAAAAGCAGATACAACTTTTACTTCAGAAACAAGAAACCAAAGCATTATCCACATGAAGGGGTTATGTGACAGCCTAAAGAACCAGTGTGCAGGAGAGGGAACTAACTCACTGAGGAAATCTCCAAGACTGAAGTTTTTGCCTGAAACCCATTTCTGGTAGTTGACCTGCGGCACCTGGAGCCTGTCATACCAGCCCAGGGTGTCCCCAACAGTGTAGTTCTGGTATGCATTTGCCCTTGGCGAATCGAGGAGGATCAGACAGAGAGAAGACAGCAGGCGACACAAGGCATAGCAGGTGACCGGAGGAAGAACTCTGCAAGATCTGCTCTGTTCCATCTTTCTTGATGACTCGAGGAAGCTTTGGGATCTCAATATGCTAGAAAGAGAGTGTGACAACTGTCTCGTGAGAAAAAGGCATGCGGCTTGCCCCAACCACTCTTCTGCCACTGCTGTATTTTTCTTCGACTACAATTACAGATCCTCGAGACAAAAAAAAAAAAACCCTTAATAATTATGTGACCGAAGATATATTTGGTTAATTTTTGTTGTAAGCTGAGATTTCATGACAGCCGAACTTTTTCCTCTGACAACGAAGATCTCCGTATGTTGGAAGGCAAGAGAAGAAGTCACCCAAAGTGCTACATTTCAAGAAAATGGCACGAGTGTGGATAGGAGGAGAAAGATGTCCATTTGGGGGGGGTGAAGCATGATTGAGATGCAAGAAGAGAACCATGTGTCGGTAGCCACATATGTGTTGATTGGATCATGTGAAGGATGGGTAGCTGGATTGAGTGACATGGTGATGGGTCCCTCAGCACATACAAATAGAACAGCCTGTAAACCCTTACGGCAAGTTATCCCATGCAACCTTTGGCCACCGCATGCCCCCATCTTGGCGGCTCAGTTATTATGCTTCTTTTACATTAAATAAGCGATTAGATGTGTCACTAATTAACCTATTGATTTTATTTAATTTAAATTATTAATTAAAAATATTTAAACTGAAGTTGATAATGAGTCTCATGAACTCATCTCATCTTCGATAAGAGGAAATGACTACACTCACATCGATTTATGTCAGATGATGCAAATGATATTAAAATGTGTTTCTACAAAGTCTCATAATGGGTCAAACGACTGAATGATCAGTAAGGTATATATATAGTTTCTTTCCCAAATGAATTCAGGATAGAGTACTCTTCTACTCAACTTGATCTCTGCAGATGATTCGTGTATTATACGAATTGGGTTTCTTTGTAGTCTCGAAGTTTTTTTCACTCAAATCTGCTGGGCCTTGATTGGAACTATATGATTGCAAGGACTAAAGAAGAATCGAATGGAGGTAAAGGTTTTGTTGGGCTGACATCTAAAATTATTTCAGCTGTCTCTTCCGAGATATCTGTAAAAGAAGAAGATTAACATTACCTCCTGCATAAGTATGACATGATCACATTGCCCGATTGGAATCAGAAGACACTGTCAGGGAGTACAACACCAACGTAGATATTACAGCTTCGGAAGAACTATATGTTGGGCAGATGGCCCATTAATACAGTCCATAGAGCTTTAGTAACCCATAACTCATTTTTCTTTAACCAAAAATCTCTAATGAATAGAGCGAAAAAAAAAACTACAGGTTCATAAAAAAAAAAAATGAAAGGGTAGAAAAACAAGAAAAAAAAAATAGGATAACACTGTTCTCAATCATCTAGATAGTGTTTTTATCTCCTGAGGAGATTTTGGATATTTTGCAGACATAATCCTTATATCTCAGTTATTCTCTTGTGATTTGAGCAACAAATTCTGAGATTTGTATATTTATTATTTTTTAATAATTTTTTTCTGACTTATTATGTAGTTTTTACGCATGAATGAATTTTTCACGTAAATCTTGTATTATGGTCTATTTATATTTATTCATATATAAAATTATCTTTTTATCCCATCACTATATTTATGTTGCTATCTTTTTATCCTATCCTATCCTATCCTATCTTTTTATATGATCACTGTATTTAGGTTCAGATGCATGAAATCAAATAAAAAACAATGGAAGAGAAAGAAATTTACATGTAAGAATAATTCCACACAAGTGTTACTTTTGTATTCTATGGCAGCACTAGATTTGGTAATGGGTAATTAACATTTGAGGATCTCTAATCATTATTTCAGTCTAACCTTCAACAAAAAAAGAACCGCATGAATTGGCCTGTTGACTCCACAAAAGAAGTACATTAAACATTTAATGTGGTCAACTACGTACATGAACCCACCCCATTAGCAGTTGGGCTGTCCGAAGATAATAAGCTTCATCGTTGACGTTGACCACTGCACACGCTTTTCATTTCGTTTGTTAATCTTGAGTCAACCATCAATTTAACTTCCAATTTATTACCTGGCATTGTGGTTGACTTGCTCCACACTCTTTAGCATATATTCCCCCCCCCAAACGCTTAGTCAACCATTACAAGATGAGACATTAGCGACAATTATTTATGATTATGAGAAGCATCCGATCCTTTTGCTACAATGTTGAGAACAAAAGTTGGGTAAATTTATTGATTTTTTTTTTCAACATGTGCAGCACATTTTTAATATTTTATGATAAAACTATTTAATTCCACGTTTGTTAAAGAGTACGAGAACTAACGACTTAAAAGTCCGTCAAATTTTTTTTGAAACGTAGACGCACCTCTCTTAAAACAATGTAAACATATTTGAAAAACATCATAATTGAGGTAAATTGACTCAAAACTCAATAATAATGATAAACCATTAGCTCTTTGTTATATATTAGTTGTATGAATCATTTATAGCACATAACATTAGTTGTCATGGGATTACGTGTCTCTATATTTGCATTGTTTCTATTACTGCATGGCAAGAAATTTGACATACGTGTAGCTTTCTTTTTCTTCTTCGTTTCTTCTTCTTCTTCTTCTTCATTTTGCACGCATGGAAGATGGGATTAAAGGTTGGTGGTCCTCTGTTGTAAAGAGGGGGAGGGTTGGTGGGGAGTCTCCGTCTCCATCTTGTATCGACCTGTTCTCTGTTGGTGTCTATCATCACCCTAATCTTTCAAATGCTTCGTTTGTGGAGTGCGAGGAAAGTTGGATACTCGGTTTTGAGTTGGAGGAAGAGAATGAGCTGCTGCTTATCTGAATCTGACCCTCCTTCCATGGTGGATGACAACAGATGGAAATGATTTTTATTCATCTTCCTACGAACTCATCAATAAAATATCGATCCATGTCGTCACCCCGTTTCCGTTCCAATGCATCAAAATATGACGTTGATCCAAAGTTCACATTGTAAATTGATGTCCCAATTTGAATAGACTTTGTGGTTGGGAATAATGGTAATATTTTTTAGTTTTTACAAAAAAGATATGCATCGCTTACATTATATGATTAATATAATATGCTTCAAAACTGCACAATAAAAATTAAATATCATGTTAAACATTTTAAATTTTTTATTATTATCTCTTGTGTATCATGAAAATAATAGACATCGAGCTCTAACGTCGCAAAGGATCATCGTTATCATTTCTACTAATATAACATGCTCTTCCTTTAATTAACTCTTAAATCTACCGCAACGAAGCATTTTATACTGTGAGGCTGCTGTCATTTTAGAGGGATTAATATAACATTGTAGGAGCAGTTGTCAAAGATGAGTGTGATTAAAGTCCAAGATTTTGATGGATGTCCTAAACATAAATAATTATTTTATGTATTTTGAATATAATATATATATATATATATATATATATATTTATGGTACTTAATAAAGTATTTTTTTTGGTTCATGTACTTCAAATTAGGTGGCTAATTGATTGATAAACTATGTTGGAGTTGACAATGGACATGAAATAAATCGAGGAAATTCACTCTCAAGTCTTTTATAATTATTGTGGAAAGTTGATTTTATTTATTTTTAATGGTAATATATATAATTAAAAAATATAGTCTATGCGAATATAATAAGAATAAGATATTTATGATTACAACTATCAAACTACAGTTATATATATATATATGTAATTGATTATTTTTATATAAACTTCAAGGAAAAGAAAATTAAGATTAAGGCGGTGAAATTGTTGAATCATAAAAGCCAGCAAGAACTCTAAACTTGTAAAAGTTCAAAAATCAAAATAGATGATTTTTTACATAAACTTCAAAGGAAAAAGAAAATCAAAATTAAGGCGATGGAATTGTTGAATTATAAAGTCAACAACAGAAATCTAAGCTTTCAGGAGTTCAGAAACTCATGTTTTACGTGCATCTCATGTTTGATAGTGATGAGTTTTGTCTAAAGAATATTCAATACGTGCGTTCACATATCTCATGTTTGGTAGTGATGAGTTTGAGGCATAAAATCGTAGAATTATGTATACATATAATGTGGTGAATATATCTCGAAAAGACATCACATATTTTTGGTGTGAAGACAACCAATTCATCTTTTATTTTCCCCAATAAAATCATATAATGGGATAATATTATCCTTTAAAACCATCACGATGCTTTAACTTATCACAAATCATGGATTAATGCCTCACCATCTATCCAAGGACATGACTCGATCTTGGACAATTATAGCTCTATGTCTTGAGATATAATTATTTTATATCTCCATGATTAATTTTCATATATATTTCAAGAAGAAGATTCTTTTGTTAATTGGTTCACAATTTTTGCTTGGAGTTTTTTTTTTGTTAACTCAAATTTTTATATTTAATTAATTATATGGTTACAGTGATTTAGTACTATTCAAATCATAAATTCCTCCTAACAAAAAGACCCATCTAACTAGTCTTTATATAAAAAATATATAAAATTTGCAAATCAAAGTTGACCCCTATCTAAATTATAATTCGATTCATATTATGTGATAAATCAATTAATTGAAATCATGACAAACATATTTCATATATTATGCTAACCATTATAAATAACAGTGACAAATTTAAAGCCACACCAAAAGCATTCAGTGTGAGAGTCCTCTTACACCACAATCAGTGCCTTCCTCAAATGATTGCACCATCAATTTAGAGGCAATTAATTCTTGGCAAGAGATTACTTCCACCAGTAGTGAGTGGCTCAGCTTTGTTCAAATAAAAGAAAATGATGCACAAAGGTCAAGTAGGAAGATATGAAACTTCACATTCCCATCACTAGAAAAAATAGGGTTGGTAATGTGTAATGTGGGACTCAACAAGACACTATACAAATGTTGCCATCTAATCCCACCACATCATTATGAGAACCTCACTTCCCTTCCCAGCTAGTGATCATCTCCATCTCCATCATTTTTTATGCATGAATATAAATGAGCTACTCACAACCAATAGTCAACTTTTTTGTGGTCATTGTTTAAGGTGAATAAATAATTTCATTTGCACTTTGTGCTCTAATGGGATTTTAGCCTTCTCAAGAGAATTGGGCAACAATTCTCATCCAATTAAGAGGTTTCTTTGATAAATAATACATGGATTTAACATAGCTAATGTATTATTTTATGTAAAATGAAAACTCCAATTTGACTCAATCACCTTTTCTCTAAACCCTAAATTTTCAGATTGAGTTTTGACTAGCACTCTTCGTTTACCACAATGACCAACAAAAACTTGGAAGCCAAATCCTCCACAGCTGCCATTGGAAACCATGGTGTTAAGTTTATCTATCTTATTTCCTTAATTAACCTTCTAAGACTAATTTGAGTGTGTTTTTATTACATCTTATCAAATGATGAGGGGCTCAGTGGGTGAAACACTCACAATAGAGAAAGCTAATACGTGACATCAATATCAACGTTCGCACCTCAAGACAGCCGCCCATCAGAGCCGTCCATTCTCGTGATTCGATAGAAGAATGTAACGAATTTGGTGTATTACAACAATACTTTTGCCTACTCGGATTTGGAGTATGGAGGGGATCGTTGGGGCCCACTCTGGAAGGAGTGAACTTACCAGAGCCGTGTCACAATGACGTGTTAATGTGGCGTTATCATTTCGTATCATAATAATGATTGGATCGGACGACTCACATGTTCACCAGATCAAGGATCACGAACAGCGAGAGCCCATCTCAACCGTCCATTCGCTGGAGTCAACGATGAGTCGCTCCTTCCCTTTCTTACTATTTATGTAATTATGAATTTTATTAACTGCTTATATTAATTCCCTTGTGTGTATGTATACACATATATATAAATATATACGTATATTAAAGATCGGATTTTTGAGGTCATTCGAAGTTTATTTTAGGAACGGGGAGGCAGACGAAGGATTGGGCTGTTGGATTCGGTCCGCCGTAGTTCTGTTTCCTTGCGTCGCTTCGCTGCTGGTATTCATCTTCCCTCCCCTCTTCCCCCCCACCCCCCACGCTCCCCTCTCTCTCTTCCTCTCTGTGTCTTTGAGGAATCGAAAGGAGAGGACGAAAACATATTGTAACAGCAATCGGCAGTGAGAACGCAGATTGTGGAAAAGGTTTCGTTTCTCGAGTGATTTCTTGATTATTCTTTTGTTGGTTCTTGGTGCCCAATCTTTCCCTGTAACAGGAGGGTATTGTTTCGTTGTTGGGATGGAAGAAAAATAAGTTCTTCTGGATGTTCTGGAAGCCGTGAAGGAGGCGTTTGTGTGGGCGAAGAGAGGAAGAAATAGGGGGTTTGATCGATGTTTTTATCGCGTTTTCTGTGAGAAAAAGGGAAAATTCTTTGGGGCCTGGTTGATTGTTGCTTTGGGTGGTTTTTCTGTTGAGAAATCCGATCTTTTTGCTGGATTTTGGCTTCTCTTGAAAACGTAAGAACAGCTAGATCGAAACCGCACCAGTCAGTGGAAGCATTGATGCCCATTTGAGTTTTTCCGATCGCAGGCTCGGAATACGCGGCTAAGAATCGGTCTTGGCGCCGCCCCCTGGTCGAGAACCGGTCCAGAAGAAGTGGGTTTTGTTTGCGATCGCTTCGGTCGTAGTCCTGCCTGCGTGCTTCTGTCGCCGGAGCTGTCTCTCGCCGCCATGGCTGGCTCGTCCGGGTCGCTTGATTACTGGAGAAAGTTCTTCCGCAGTGCTAATTCCGACATCTTCGAAGTGATAGAGCATGCCGTCCTCGTCGCGGCGTCGGACTACCCCGAAGAATTCAGGAGTAGGAGGGATCGGATGGTGGAGAAGCTGTTCACCGTGCTGCTGCCAAGGTGCTTCGGGTGCGACCGCGTCGCTGAGGGGGAGGAGGGGAACGCCAGCGTCAAGAGGGACGGAGAGAAGGAGAGCAAAGTGGATAGCAACAACGTTGGGCCCGAGGACCTGAACCGGATTGTGAGCAACTACAGCTTCGATGAAGCCGAGGCGCTCACAGAGGAGATGGAAGAGGAGGGCCAAATCGTTGGGGAGGTTCTGAGGATAAAGGAGATCTTTGCCAACCATCATGATGAGGTTTGTGTCATTGCTCCTCTCATAAATTCAACTTATTTGATGTCTTTCTGGTTACACCTACGGTTTTTGGCTCATTCTATAGCTGAATTTGCAGAATCATTATGGTGTTAGAATTCTTTTTGTTGTATAATTTAGGTTGAATGATATCACTTTGATCTTAACTTGAAACTTTGAAGAAGTTGTGCCGATTGTATTTAGATTTGCTTTGCTGATTTGCAGTCTGAGAGCACACTGTTTGAGTCACTAAGGAGGCTGCAGTTGATGGAACTTTCTGTCGAAGTACTGAAGGTGAGGAATAGAATCTATTTTACAGTTTAGTTGTTGCCTGTTCCCCTAAAGATGCAATAGTTTGGTTACCAGGAAAGCAATGTCTGACTTGCTGTATATCAAATTTCTGTATCATTTGGATCATAGGCAACTGAGATTGGAAAAGCTGTTAACGGTCTACGGAAGCACAACTCTAAGCAAATTCGCCACCTTGTTCGGACTCTCATTGAGTAAGTTTCTTTTACTAAACAAATTTTTTCAGAGACTGATAAAAATAGCTCATGAAATATTTACAATGTTAATTTTAGTAGAGTCCGGCATGTCGAGCGTGGATTTTTAAAAGATGAAGGATTTAAGATGTCATGTTCATGTGTGGATTTCATATCAGCTTTTGGAGCATTGAGGGGATATGCATTAGACTGCTGAAACATTCTTGCAATTAGTGCCTTTCACTTGGCTTTTCTTACAGCTTAGTGAAGTATATAAATTATGTAATGGCTGGTTAGACGCTTGTTTAACCCTGCTTCAATTTCTTTTTATGCGACAGTGGTTGGAAGGTTTTGGTTGAAGAATGGGTGAGAGCTACAGCTGCCATTGCAGGTAGACAGTCTTTTCCTTCCATATTGTCATGGCTTTGTCATTTATGAGTTCTCATAAGTGTTTATGAACGCATCAGTTACAGATAACTCTCCTGACAATGAAAATCCTCCTATTGAAGATGAGGAAGGGCTCCCATCCCCTCCTTTGGATGAGGGAGCTCTTTTTGCCACTCAAACTACTTCCATCCAGCTCTCAGAGGTATGGCATATAAAATTCTGGATGATATATTGTCGGGCCTTTCTCATTGATGCATAATCTTCTAGTTCTGAAACCAACTGACTGGTTTTATTTTATGTGCCTTGACTGTTCGGATATGAAGTTCTTCGATGGAATGGATGATGATGGAAGTGAGTAATTGTGCTTTCTGTCTGGTTATGAGTTTTGCTGTTGCATTTTCTTCTTGTTCAATTTCCACTATGCACTGACGTCATCCATCTACTGGAAAATATTATTCAGATTTCAGAACTAATGGGGAGTTTGAGAAGCAGTGGAAAAATGGAAGGATGCTTAAAGTAACTGATGAACCAGAGAGGAAACAACAGCCTGTCATTCCAAAAGAGAAGGGGGAGGCAAGGAGGCAAGAATTAGTCATTAAACCAGCAAAGCCACAGGAGCACTTGGTTAGAGAAGCAAAGCATGAAATTATTGTAAACAAGCAAAGCAAGCCTGTGATGTCTGGGCCTGGCAGACAACTAAAACTAGCCTCCGATCAGAAAGCTCATAGCGAGATGAAAACTACACAGCATCAAGACAATGCTGGAGTTCAGAGGAAGCCATCGGTGGTTTCACTAGATGTAAGTTTATCCTACCGCTAAAAAACTTTGGATAAAGTAGGTTTGGAGGAGCTTATCCATCGAATACTTTGCACTCTATACAGAAAACAAGGAACTCAGAGGAAGCCTTAATACAAGCTAAGCTAGAAGTGGCAAAGAGGAAGCTTCATGAAGGTTACCAGCTAGCAGAAAATAGTATGTTTCAATCCAAAACATCTATTGTGCTTTTATCGACTTTCTACAATTAAAATTAATAGCTTATTTGACGTGTGCTTTACATTCATCTATGGCAGCAAAAAAGCAGCGAACGATACAAGTAATGGAGCTGCATGATCTACCAAAACAGGCACACAATAGGCATCCAATTCTGAAATCCAGAAACCAGAGTAGGAGTTGGGCAAGTGGTCGGCACTAGTCATGCTAATTCTCCAAGTGGATTGCCAACTTACAGCTCTGAGCCGACCCTTTTTCTCCACGTTGGAACATCTGTGGCTTGTACTTAAGCGGGGAATGACTACCTGCGTACCTTTCGCTCAAAAGTCCTGTCAGTTTTTTTAGAGCGAAAGGTACTCAGGTAGTCATTCCCCGCTTGCTGTTGAAACTGTCTCCACCAGCTGAGCTCGGACATGAAGGCTGTACAAACTTCTTTTTGTTTTGGGGATTTTTCCCTAAATGATGACTTAGAAACCATGATTATATACTGCAAAAGATGCTGGGGGTCTTACAATAGATATAGAAACCCTGAGGACTCAAAAGAGTTCCAGAATTGAGAAAACATTTGGGACGCTGGATTGCATACTGACCTGGTCACAATTCATTGGTTGTTATTAGATAACAGTGTATACATGTCTTTAACAAATCTTTGATCATTTTCCATTTTATGATCAGTCCTGTTGCCTGAATGATGTAAAAGCAGCGCTTGCTTTACAAAATGACAATGATTATACAAATGATCATATTCCAGATTCTGTGGTGTTTGTTGGCTGGTGTTTTCTGAAAGCTACCTGATTCATTCAATCACAATTCAATCATTCACCAGTAAGAAAAGGTAGGTGATACTGGTTGTGGTGGTGGAACTGGGTAGGTGCCATCATTCACAACCTTCAGTTCTGTACCTTGACTTAGGCACCAAAATTTGTCTATTTTATTGCAAATAATGAATGGAACTCGAAGAATAATCAAGTCAAAATAAGGAAGTCTTGGACTGCATCCTTCCTTGCAAAATTTGACACACCTATCAAAATAGGAGAGAGAGAGAGTAAAATGTTGGGTTCTTTCTGTGGATACATGCACACTAAACAACACCTTAAAAGATTTGACTTTTTGATAGATTAGATGACTGAATCATAGTAAGGGTTGGGTTCTTTCTGTGGATACATGCACACAAAAATAAAAAAAAAGAAAACTAATAAACTCTGCTGCTGTTTTGGCAGTGTAAATGCCTCTCCTTTGGTCATCTTCTCTCCTAAAGATACCGAGTCTCAAGAAAGGTGGATAGAAATTAAAGCACATTGAAACTACCGTAGTTGACGGTCCATAACTATTGCTCTTTCTACCTGCCTCTTCTTCTCTTTGGTCACTGCATGCATCAGCACTGCGCAATCACCCAACTCATGGCTTCACTAAACACCAACCCAACAAGGTGTGGTCAAAGAACATAGACTTCTTCCTGCATATTATTATTATTATTATTATTATTATTATTATTATTATTATTATATATTTATATTCGTCTATTAGGGTTTTTATTCCTTTTCTTAATTCCAACTCTATGGCTTTTGGCCAAATAAATGCAAAAAAACCATTAAGAATAGTCAAAGTAGCTATCAAGAAAATGATAAAAATAAAAAAAATTGATTGGGTATCTATCTTAATGGAAACTAAAATTTCATTGATCGGTCTAATCAGGTTTTGATATGAATACGAGTAGCTTAATTATTATCCGAGTAACGTTTTATATAATTTATTTAAGTAACTATAATTCCTGTAATCAACGAGCTCCGTCCACCTGACGCAGCATGACTTGTATTCGTTCGACGACTAAGATTTAACGATGCGAAGAACGCACGGTGATCCGAGATCCCTGAAACTGGCGGCTGGAAACCAAAGCGGTAGATTCGGATGCATCAGAGCTGACTCATTCACTCCAAGTCTTTACGCTCCTTAGTGGGCAAAACAATTCCACGCAATGGCTATGGTCGGCGAAGAGTTGTCTATGACGACATCTCGTGTTGGCTTATGCTGCGGTCTTCATCTTTGTTGTCGGCATCAGCTCTTAAAGCTCGGGGGTTGGTGGCTGCAGGTTTTCCGCTGGATGAGACTTTTATAGTTTGCTGTTTGTACTTTACATGACGATTGAAAACTGTGGACAGTGTTCTGATGGCCTCTGAACAACTGAGGAGCCAATTCACTGTTGACACACCAGTCTCGTTAGTATTCTTCTACAATAATAATAAAAATAATCAAATCATATATTCTAAATATTTAGAATCGATTATGTATGAATCTTTTAAAAGATTATATGTTAAATTAAGTTTAAAATATTTATATCTTTATTTATGATTTGTATTAATAATTTTTAAAGCTTTCTTTACTTCTGTTTGTATGATTAATACTAATTATTTCATATATTCTAAATACTTTTAGGTATGTATACCATCTTAAATGATTTATCGAAATTATATTTGATTATTCATAAATAAAAATATTTTTTTCTATCTTTTGTCGTAATTCCAAATATCCATCTTAGTATTTTTATCTCACCAACATAAGATATTTGTATATTATTTTTTAATTATTTATTATTGAATTCAAAAATAATATGTACAAAAAATTTATGTTGCTAAGATGAAAATATTAAGATAAATACAGGAAATTATTAAAAAAAATATTTTTATTCATAAATAATTAATTATAGCTTGTATGCTTATGGGACCTACTGAAATGATAGTTATTCGCATTCTTCATTGGATTCTATTAATTAGTGGATGCTGTTTAGTGACATGAACATCTTAGCTAAAATATGTGTCGTTCAGTCTGGGTTTTACAATGTAGTCTTCACTCGCAGCCATTGGTGAAGTCAAACTAAGTTGATGTGCACTGCAAGAAAGTCAAAGTTCAAGTGGCGGAGTCAATGCCTAATGCCTGCAACCGGTTTCATTTAATGTATGTGAACTTAAAAGACTGTTCTACACAAAAGATAAGAAGACTGAAATAAATTAGTGTTGGAAGGATGAGACGCTGGATTGGCATTTAATTCTGGGAAGAACATTGAAGCCGGCATCATCAAGTCGGATTCCAAAAGTTCAATGAGATGATAGCACACAATTGGCAATAGGGATAACAATTTGGAATACGATCAGCCCCATTTTTAGCTTTCAATATCATACATAGAACATTGGTGATAAAAGCACATAAAGGAAGCTAAAAATTACAAGGAGGCATCATTTCCCTCATTAAGCCACATGCCATCCCATCCACCCATTGATCAAAAAATCTAAACTTGATTTACAAGGAGGCCTCACATAATAACTAGGAAAAGGGATATTTAAAGAAAATATATTGTGCATGGCCACAAAATAAGGTAATTGAAAGTAGCCATAATCCAAAATTAACAAATCTATAGAGGTTGAGAGAGGGCACTGTTTAAGCATCTAACACAGCAGTGTATGTTGCAAAGCACCTGCCAAGCTCGAGAGTTTGCACAATTGGATCAGCAGCCATGAATGTCCCTTTTATCAAACTTCCAAATCCATGCATCATGATTAGGACCACCGGATTCATAATCCAAGATCTATTCACAAGTAAATATCCCAACCAATTTGATAAAAATCAGATCTAAGTTGTTCAATAGCATGCAAAAATTGGATGGTTAAATATTTGATGTCAGTATGAAATGGATGTGATCAATGGTCGTTCAATAGCATCATGATTGATGTTGCAAAGAGATACAGGTATAGGCCTTTGATTTGAGAGGACAAATGGCATTTCAAGATAAAAGTCAAAGATCCAAACCCCAACATTGAGACCCATCTCTGACCACATCTTTTGGATCCAAAAAAAGATAGGTAAACAAACATCCACAAAAGCCTAGACAATATAATCATGATCATAAAGTTAATATTGGCTTTGATGTGGTTAATCAAGTTTTTTAGATGGCATGGCTATTAAAAATATAATATTTCCAACGTCTTTACTTATCTACCTAATTTTGAAATTATTATTATTATTATTATTATTATTATTATTATTATTATTATTTAGTATTAATATACCGAAGGAGAGCATTAGCATTATGATAAAGACAAAAGAGAGTAATAGCTTGAGTCAGAGAGACCACAATTGGGTTCAAGGTTTTCAAGGCTCAAAAATCTTCTATTCAATATTAGAGAGAGAAGTATCACTTAAATTGGCTAATTGGCTAAAAGTTATTTCAGAAAACATGCGAGCTCATTAAATTTTTTAACCAATCCTTTTCCTATGGATCGATGGAATAGTCTACACATGTTTGTGAAATCACACTGATTTTGGTTGATTGATCTGTGATGAAGCATAGAGCTAGAAAATATCATTAAGAGCTCAGCTCCCAAATGGACATAATACCTACAAGAATGATAACACAACAAAAACTGGCTAATAGAAGAGATGACCATCCGAATTCAATGACTACCGATGGCACAAAACAAAGGACAACCAACAAGAAGACATCAGCTTCTCCATGATGGATGTTTCTATCTCACAATTGAATAACTTATTACTCCCAAGCACCACTATTTTCAGACAGGTTTCTGAAGTATGCCAAGTGTTCTACAAGAGTCATCAAAACCATCGTCTCTTGTTCACATCATCTGAAAGCAATTTCAGATTCCAAGAAAGAACAAAAAAACAGGGCAAAAGTGCATGGCCGATCCCAGAGATGAGACCGACCTGAAATTATTGGGATGGCATACGAAACATAGTCCATGATGGATGTTTATATCTCACAATTGAGTTTGTCATGCCTTTGGATCTGGCACTAGACTAAAAGGCAAATCTCATAAATCTGAATCTGAATTTACAAATAAAAAATATAACAAGTCCATGATTCAACACATGAAAGAGCTAGCCCTTTATATGTGCTATCTACTTGCAATGTACAGATACCAAATTCATGAGAACAATGGCAATCAAGGACCTTCAATAGAGGCAAGAAGTAATGCAAGGGAGACGGAATCTATCTACATGATCAGTTCTGCATTTCAACCCCTAGAACAAATTGAGTCTACTAGATTGCTCCAGGTTAAAAGGTCTAAATACATAATAAAATGAGACATGAATTGCTAGAAGAAAGGAGTATTTATTTATTGTGAGGGAATGACAGCTTAAGAAGATGAAGCAATATAAAGAACAACCATATAGAAAGAACAAATGCAGGGGAAATATCACTTAATATAGCTGCTATGAACCACCAAATAGAAACAATCATTTACTCATTTGAATAGACAAATTTCAAGTTCAGCCAATCCTTCCTTTTTCAAAATAATTATCGAGTATATGGACTTAAAAGGTAGGTGATACTGGTTGTGGTGGTGGAACTGGGTAGGTGCCATCATTCACAACCTTCAGTTCTGTACCTTGACTTAGGCACCAAAATTTGTCTATTTTATTGCAAATAATGAATGGAACTCGAAGAATAATCAAGTCAAAATAAGGAAGTCTTGGACTGCATCATTCCTTGCAAAATTTGACACACCTATCAAAATAGGAGAGAGAAGAGAGAGAGAGAGAGAGAGAGAGAGAGAGAGAGAGAGAGAGAGAGAGAGTAAAATGTTGGATTTTTCCTGATAATCTGAATTCAAGACACTAAACAACACCTTAAAAGATTTGACTTTTTGATAGATTAGATGACTGAATCATAGAAGGGTTGGGTTCTTGCTGTGGATACATGCACAAAAAAAAATGAAAAGTAATAATCTATGCTGCTGTTTTGGCAGTGTAGTAAATGCCTCTCCTTTGGTCATCTTCTCTCCTAAAGATACCGAGTCTCAAGACAGGTGGATCGAAATTAAAGCACATTGAAACTACCGTAGTTGACGGTCCATAACTATTGCCCTTTCCACCTGCCTCATCTTCTCTTTGGTTTGGTCACTGCATGCATCGACACTGCGCAATCACCCAACTCATGGCTTCACTAGACATCAAACACCTTGCTGGGTCGGTGTCTAGTGAAGCCATGAGTTGGGTGATTGCGCAGTGTTGATGCAT